TTCAATTATTCTTCTATATGCTGGACATACTATGTGACCAACAGCAAAGTCCTGGAAAGAGACAATGCACCGAATCCCTGATCGTGAAACACTGTCTTCGATGGTCAGGGCATGTAGCAAGAATGGAAGATCCAAGGTCTCCGTGTCAAGTTTTATTCAGCGAGTTCACTTCAGGGAAAAGACCACTCAATTGCCCTCTCCGAAGAGACAGGGACCAAATACATTTAAATCGTTTGAAAGTCAAGCCCGAAACCGTACCAACTGGGGATGTTCCTGTTGCAGTTTTTTTGTGTATATATATGTAACTAGTGAGTTAGCCCAAATGACTTCACTCACTTTATAGTCCACCAATAGAAGGATAACCAATCAGAAGACGTAGAATATTCAATCCGTCGTGTATAAAGGCGGCTATTTTGTTTACTCTCTCCGAATGTCCAGTACCAACTTGTCAGGCGAAGAGGAACAGAAGGAAGAACTACGCTCTGCTTACTTTACCGGGATATCCACTGCTAACCTGAACTACGCTTTCCTACTGTCTGCGAAATATTCACTGGTAACCTCTGGATTCTATATTCAAAGACGACCGTCATCATAAACAACAGTTCCATCACCATCGGAACCAAAATCTTCGAAGCCACTAAAGCAGAAAAGGAATAAGTCAAATCGACCTCTTACTCCACCAATATTATTATGCAGCCAATGCTATCAGTTCTTCCATGCAAGAATTGGTCTACTTAGTCATCGACGCCTTCATCAGAAAGGAAACAATCAGCAAAGAAATTAAATTCTTGGACAATATCAGTTATTAGAGGCCACATCTTTGATCAGTCCTGTCATAATCACTTTTATTTGAGCCATATTGCTGAATATATGAAGAAGAAAAAAACAATAGCAAATTGGCGACTACATCAGTTATGTACCATGCGTCATACACGCTTAGGCGATCATGTATCTTTCGATATATGACTGACGAGGCAGATTTTTTCCCGCAGTAGGTTATCATTTCTTTCTACAGTAAACCAATTGCCATCCAAGGCTATAGAACCCAGCTTGTCCTGTTATTTTACTCATAGCTGGGGGAGGATAAGAAGAGAACTCATAATTTACCCAAGTTTATTAGCACGTAAGTGAATGTAATGGATATGTCTGGAATTCGAACACGGCTCTCCGATTCCTCAACCCGAGGCACTATCCATTACTCCACCGTCAGTCAATCAGTTATGTGCCATGCGTGGTACATGTTTAGGCGATCATGTATCTTTCGATACATGACTGACGAGGCAGATTTTTTCCCGAAGCAGGTTACCATTTCTTTCTGCAGTAGGCCAATTGCCATCTAAGTCTATAGAACCCAATCTGTCCTCTTATTTTACCCATAGCTGGGGGATGATAAGAAGAGAATTCATAACTTTTCCAAGGTTATTAGCTGGTAAGTGAATGTAATGGATTCGACTGGAATTCGAACTCGGCTCTCCGATTCCTCAATCCGAGCCGCTATCCATTACTCCACCGTACTTCCAAATATACTGACTTAATTCAATAAGAGAAAGGTGTGTCTTATAGACTACCTTTAAAGTTGATATTATTTTTAGGCTTTCTAAATTAAAATCTCTTATTACTTATTATTATTATTTTTATTTTCTTTGATTTCTGGCGTTTACACATTTCTTTCCGGGTCCCGCCCAGGGACCTAAGGTTAGAAATGGCGTCATGACACTTTCCACTGACAAAAAAAAAAAAAAAAAAAAAAGTAAAAAAGAATTAAATTACATAGATAAAGCCCTTCGTAAGGTGTGGACTGTACTTGTCAGAACAATTTTTTGTATCTCCTTGAGGCATGGACTTCCAGGAATCCCTTCAATTAGTCTACTGCAATATTTTCCAACCAGTCCTAGGGCTCCAACTACAACAAGGATTGTTGATGTTCCCATATGCCACATTTTCGAGATTTCTATTTCAAGGTCCTTGTACTTTGATAACTTTTTGAATATCTTCTTGATATGGCAGGGACTGCCATATCAAGGAGGCGTCATTTTTGTTTGTGGTCTTTAATAACAATATCTGGCCGGTTGGCCTTGATTGTTCTGTCAGTGTGTATTGTGTAGTCCCATAGAATTGTAACAGGTCCTATCTCCGTAACCCGCTCTGGGTGGTGTTCATACCAGTTTCTTTCAGTTTCCTTCCCGTAGAAGTTGCAGATTTTCCAGTGCAGATATTGGCCCACTCTGTCATGTCGGGTTTTATATTCAGCGGGTGCCAACACCGTACAACCTGATACAAGATGATCAATCGTTTCTGGATATTTATCACAGAATCTGCATTTTGGGCTGACACAATATTTTAGTATATGTGCTTGATTATTATTATTATTATTATTAGAATAACAAGATGTAATTAGATATAAATTTTCCGGAAGATCTTGACAATCTCTCTGAAAGAAAATATTAAATTATACTTAACGAAGGCGGACGATTTAAAATATCATCACTTGATAACTATCAGAGTTAATCAAACCACTTGAGAGGCGTATTGTTATATTCACTTTGAAAATATTTTAAAAACAAGCTTTTTTTTGTAGGTTTTCTCTTTGTGTTTACGCCTCCCAAGAAAGCAAAGATGGAATTGTAGCTTGTCATTCTAAAACTATAGAAATATGATAGTGATGTCGGTTTTAATTTATTCTCAAAAAGTAAATTAAGTAGACAGAATATAAGAAAAAAAAAAAACAAAACAAGCGATCAAAATATTGAGAAGGATTTCTATTTCATGTGAAGGAATTAGCCAAGTTTTCCGTCGAAAGCAATTTCCAATGAAGCCAGACGAGAAAAAGACAATTTGAAAGCATAGGCAAATATTATGTTCTCTCATCTTTCTACAAACATTAGTGACTAGCAAACAAACTGAATGGAATCGTTAAAACCAAATACCGAAGCCACATATTTGAGACGTTCGCACGAAGAACAGAAGTTTCCAATTGATTCTGGAGTTTGTGTGGCTCTTTTCAAAGAATATGCTTACGTAAAAGGAAGAAAATATAGAGAAAGAAAAAGAAGGAAAAAGAACAGGAGGAGAGTATAAAGAGACAAGAATGTGATGAAATAGCACATAGACATATACATATATATGACATACACACACAAATACAAAAAAAATTACGTACAATACAACACAAATTCTTTACTCAACAAAAAAAAAAAAAAAATCTTATCACCTGACGAGTGGAATACCTAAAAACAGTTCGTCCTAAGAATAGAGGCAATGAATATAACATCAACATAAAAATAATATATATAATATATATATATAATATATATATATATATATATATATATATATAAATTACGATAAACGTGAATCTCATATATCTGAAGATGTCTGTAGGAACAGACAAAGTGGACAAAATAAGATTAATACGGCAAAACAAGGATCGTCATAACGGATTCGAGGTTTTGTATATTATTTGAATTGTTTGCGATGATCTATCAAATAAACCTTGCATTAGTTTTTGTGTGAATTTTCATGTATTTGTAAATTGATATATCGTAATTTATATATATTTATATAATATATATATATATATATATATATAACAATATAAATGCCACTTTGACAAAAAATTTACGTAAAAAATTCGTTCAATCACCATATTTTTATATGAACGCACAACCTTTAAAAAAAATTTAAAATCAAACTCAGCTTTTCTGCGCGCCCAAAACAATAACTCATTTTCAATAGCATTTTCGGATACAATAATACATATATTTTCGTTGTCCTCTTATTACTAAGAGAAAAAAACAACATCTATTCTATACCTGAAGATGCCTGTAGGAGCAGACGAAAGCTTGTAGTAAAAATAAGAACTAATACGGCAGAAATTTATATAAACAAGGATCAATTCATTCATAACGGATTCGGAGGTTTTTGTATATTATTTGAATTGTTTGCGATGATGGATGTCTCGCCATTTAAATCATTAACCTTTGCATTAGTTTTTGTGTGAATAATTCATGTATTTGTAAATTGATTGCACGTTTATCGTAATTTAAATAACTGATCCAAGTGCCACTTTTGGATAATAAGTGCGACATTACTGTAATTATTGAACAATATAGTTCATGCCACTTTGACAGAAAATTTACTTTGTAAAAAAATTCGTTCATCACCATATTTTATATGAACGCACAAATTTAAAAATTTAAATCAAACTCATATTTTTATGCGCGCTCAAAAACAATAACTCATTTTCAATAGCATTTAAAACAATACATATATTTTCGTTGTCTTCTTACTAAGAGAAAAAACAAGAACAACATCTATTCTATACCTGAAGATGCCTGTAGGAGCCAAAAAATAAGAACAATAACTCATTTTCATATTCGGAGGTTTTTGTATTTATTTGAATACAATTTAAATCATTACATTAGTTTTTGTGTGAATAATTCATATTTGTAAATTTTTTAAATAACTGATCCAAGTGCCACGATTGTGCTCTGTAATTACTATCACCATATTTTATATGAAAAAACTGTAAAAAAATTTAAAATCAAACTCAGCGTTGCTTCATCTATAATAACTTTCCAACAGTATTTCGGATACAACAATACATATATTTTCGTTGTCCTCTTATTAAAAGAGAAAAAACAAGAACAACATGCTATACCTGAAGATGCCTGTAGGAGCAGACGAAAGCTTGTAGTAAAAATAAGAACTAATACGGCAGAAATTTATATAAACAAGGATCAATTCATTCATAACGGATTCGGAGGTTTTTGTATATTATTTGAATTGTTTGCGATGATGGATGTCTCGCCATTTAAATCATTAACCTTTGCATTAGTTTTTGTGTGAATAATTCATATATATATATATATATATATATATATATTTTTTCAATTCACGCACACACACACACACACACACACACACACACACACACACACACACACATATATATATATATATATATATATATATATAGTTGTGATGGACACGACCCTACTGTCATATTTCCGTTGAAAAACTGCTTCTCGTACGATCCCCGAAGTTAAGCAAAGTAGAGCTTGGTCAGTACCTAGATGGGTGATTGCTTGGGAATATACGGTACTGTAACCAGTTATGTGCGAGCGATATAGTAGTGAATAACGGATCGCAATCATGCAGAAACGAACCCGATATTGAGACTGCTTGTGAACACTCATTACTGCAAGTAACTTTCTTACAATTTGTAACATGTTTCACTTTGAAACAAACCACACACGTCATAAAAACTAAACGAAAGAAACACATGATGTTTTTCGATAGGATAGATATATGATATAATATATATAATATAATAGATATAATAGAATATAATCGATATAATAGAATATAGTAGACAAAATATAGTAGATATAATATAATGTATATAATATAATAGATATAATATAATATAATAAATATAATATAATATGATATAATATAATATATATAATATAATAGATATATTATAATATAATATAATAGATATAATATAATAGATATAATATAATGTATATAATATAATATAATAGACATATTATAATATAATATAATAAATATAACATAATATGATATAATATACTATAATAGATATAATATAATATAATAGATATGTATATATAATATAATAGATATATATAATATAATATATAATATAATATATAATATAATATATAATATAATGGATATATATATAATATATAATATAATGGATATAATATATATATATTACAAGAGACATAATATAATAGATATAATATATATTATAATAGATATAATATAATATAATAGATATATTATATTATAATATAATATATTAAATATAATATAATAGATATGGAAATGTATAGAAAATTATTATTGGAGTCGAGAAAAAGTTAATTATCATTGTTCAAGTATAGAAGGAAACATTTTTATTTTTATCAACAGTATACTAATGAGGACATCATTTGACGCGCGGCCGTTGTGCTTGGTAACGAATCGGAATGAGAAATTGGCGAGTTCGAATTCCAGTCTAGTTCTTTGCATTCACTTACGCTCAAATAGACTGAGAAATCTATGAGCCCATCCCCGTGTTGCATTTTCTTTCTCTCTCGATGTTTTCTTTTCTTTCTCTTTCTTTTTCAAAATTTATCTCACCGGCTTACTCTTTCTTCCTTCTTTCTATCTTTCGATTTCTTTTTCTATTTCTCTCTTTCTCTTTCTCTATCTCTTTCCCCCCTTATCTCTTCCTCTTATTATCCCTGTCTTTCCCCGTCACCCTCTCTCCCCCTCTCTCTCTCTCTCTCTCTCTCTCTCATTCTTCTTCTCTTGCTCTTTCTTTTTCAAACCTCATCTTTCCGGCCTACCCTTTCTTATTTCTTTCTCTCATTGTCTCTTTGAATTTCTTTTAATATCTGTTATGGGACCTTACCCATAATAACATAATGGACTATTCCATACGTAATAAATACTGCGCCTCAAGAGGAAGCAGGGAGTTCAGTCTGAAGTCGGGCGATCGGCTGTTCGCTTGAACTCTCTGACTTCGGGCAGGGAGGAACCCGAACGAGGCTACGCCGAAGGGCGGAGTCTCTTTCGGGGAGGTAAACCGACCCTGAACCTGTTTATACGGGTTCAAAGGGCATATTTTTGGCCGAGCCCACGGGCTCGGAGATCCAATGTTAAACCGGCCTTGTGCCACATGATGCCCTCGTAGGGTGGGGAATGACTAAATACTGTTCAGTCTGAAGTCTGGAGTGAAGTCCGTCAGGACTCTGTCAGTCAGTCAGAGCGAGCGAGTCAGTCAGTCGAGTCAGAGGCAGTCCGAAACAGAGTCGCGTTCAGACAATTACTACAAGACATTGGAATAGTGATACTGGTCGGGACTACATTGTTCTCCCTACTAAACCTGATTGTTCGTACTAACACTTCTACCTCTCTGTATATATTCCTGTTTGTAATATATTTGTGTTATTCCATATCCGTGTTCGAGTTCTTCTTTATTGGTTGTACCTTGGACTATCACCGTAGTACAAGGAACCGGACCATAACAATATCTCTCTCTTTCTTTATCTCTTTTTCCATTCTCTCTCTTTCTTACAATTCCTGTCTTTTCCCGTCTCACTTTCTTACTTTTCTTCTCTTGCTCTTTCTTTTTCAAATCTTATCTCTCTGGCTTAATCTTTCGATTTTTTTTTCTATTTCTCTTTTTACTTTCTCTTTCTGTCTCTTTTCCCCTTCTCTCTTTTTCTTACTATTCCTGTCTTTCCCGTTTCCCCCCTCCTCTCTCTCTCTCATTCTTACCCTTCTTCTCTCGCTCTTTTTCAAACTTTATCTCTCTCTCTTGATTTCTATTTTTCTCTCTCTGTCTATCTCTTTCCCCCCTCTCTCCTTCTTACTATTCCTCTCTTTGCCTGTCTCTCTTCTTCTCTCACTTATTCTCTCGCTCTTTCTTTTTTAAAATTTATCTCTTCGGCTTACTCTGTTTCTCTCTTTCGATTTCTTTTTCTATTTCTCTATTTATCTTTCTCTCTTTCTATTTCTTTCCCCCATTCTCCCTCCTTACTCTTCTATCCCTCCTTCTTCTTTCTTCTTTTTCTCTCCTTCTCTTAATCGATTTCTTTTTCTCTCTCTCTCTCTTTATCTCTCACCCTCTTTATATCTGTTTTCATCTACTCTCTCCCTTTCTCTCTGTATCTCACTTTTAACCTTCTCTCTCTTTCTTACTCTTTCTGTTCTTTTCCGTCTCTCTCCATCTTACTCTTTCTCTTATCTTTCTCTCTTTCGTATTCTTTTTATTTCCCCTAATCTCGCTTTTTTTTTCTCACTCTGTCGCCATCTTATTCCATCTTCCCCTCATCTCTCTCTTTCCCTTCGTCTTTTTCTCACTTTCCTTCTCTCTTTCTCGATGTTTGTCTTTCTTTTTAGTCTCATTTTCTCCGTTTTTTCTCTCTGTTTATGCATCACTTCCTCTCTTATTGTCGTTATCTTTCTTTCTTTCTTTCTTCCTTCCTTCCTTCCTTTCTTTCTTTCTTTCTTTCTTTCTTCTTTCTTTCTTTCTTCCTTCTTTCTTTCTTTCTTTTTTCTTTCTTCCTTCCTTCCTTTCTTTCTTTCTTCCTTTCTTTCTTCCTTCTTTCTTTCTTTCTTCTTTCTTTCTTTCTTCCTTCTTTCTTTCTTTCTTTCTTTCTTCCTTCTTTCTTTCTTTCTTTTTTCTTTCTTTCTTCCTTCCTTTCTTTCTTTCTTCCTTTCTTTCTTCTTTTTCTTTCTTTCTTTCTTTCTTTCTTTCTTTCTTTCTTTCTTTCTTTCTTTCTTTCTACATCTTATTCTTACTCATTCTTTCTTTTATCCTCCCCTCTTTCGTATTCTTTTTCTTTCTCTTTCTCCTACATTCACTTTTCTCCCCACTCTCTCTCTCTATCCTACTCATTCTCTTCCTCTTCCCTTCATCTCTCTCTTTCTCTCTCTCTCCATATTACTCTTTATCTTCATTTTTCTCAGCCTCCTCCTCTTGCTCTCATTCTCAGTTTTTCTCTTACTCTTTCTTTTTTTACTCTTTCCCCCCTCTCTCTGTGCATGTATTACTTCATCTCTTTCTCTCTCTCTCTTTGTATTTATCTCTTTCTCTTTTTCTCTTTATTTCACTGTATCTATATATATAGATCTGGCAATACAGGCCGAGAAGGAAGGCCTGCTACCAACCAGTGTATATCCAGACATACTTCAGATCATTGAGACTTTGTTGTTTGCAACAGCAGCCATTTCTTTGCTCAGTCTACCTCTTAAGTCAATGGCTTTAGTTTGGAGTCTAGTGCCACATATCAAATAACAAAGTACCATTTACAATGTTTAAGTGAGTTTGGCAGAGGGGGAGACAGCGGAGGAGGAGGAGAAGATGGACAACATCGATCTTCGAGATAAAGACATCCTTCCTCCCATAAAAGTCAGCTTTCGAAATCCCAGGTTTTAAACGGCACCGAAAATTAGCTTCTTCTAGGCTTACGGCCAGATCACGTCGAAACATAGGTTCCCATATGATCACCGATGTTAAACAACGAGATGCGTGACTACTTGAAAATACCAGGTGCTGTAAACTTGGATATGCAGGTGTTGTGGATGAGTGTCATATAACGTTAAACCACCGGTTCTCGCACAATCACCAAAGTTAAGCAACGTCGAATCTGGTCAGGACCTCGATGGGTGACTACTTGAAAATACCAAGTGCTGTAATCTTGGATATGCAGGTGTTGTGGATGAGTGTCATATAACGTTAAACCACCGTTCTCGCACAATCACCAAAGTTAAGCAACGTCGAATCTGGTCAGGACCTCGATGGGTGACTACTTGAAAATACCAAGTGCTGTAATCTTGGATATGCAGGTGTTGTGGATGAGTGTCATATAACGTTAAACCACCGTTCTCGCACAATCACCAAAGTTAAGCAACGTCGAATCTGGTCAGGGCCTCGATGGGTGACTGCTTGAAAATACCTGTAAGCCTGGATATGCGGATGGTGTCGGTTACGGTCATATCACGTTGAGAAACCGGTTATGGCTCGATAACTAAAGTTAAGTTTTGTAAAGCATATTTGACTATTCCAGTGCATCCAAAGGTTTTCCTGCAATAGTGATTAAGAAATATCGATCTATCTATCTAAGACTCTTCATTATCTCTTTCAGTGTGTTCATATCTATCTATCTATCTCAGTCTCTTCATTATCTTTTTCTCTGTGTTCATATCTATCTATCTATCTATCTATCTATCTATCTATCTATCTCAATTTATATATATATATATATATATATATATATGTGTGTGTGTGTGTGTGTGTGTGTGTTTGTGTGTCTTTTCTGTATCAGCCGATTAACTGTTTTAAGTATAATTCTGAAAATACCCCCAAGAACTCAGATGATCATGTCAAATCGACTGTTTATGCATAAATTTCCTTGAACTAAAGGTAATCTGTATGCAAGGGACATTTCTACCGTCCATAACCAATATCTATCTATCTATCTATGCATGTTCATTATCTATCTATCTATCTATCTATCTATCTATCTATCTATCTATCTATCTATCTATCTATCTCAGTCTGTTCATTATCTATCTCACCTTTAAACCTTGTAGCGCAGCTCTGAGTGTCGTCCGTTGATCCTATTTCACCCTTTGGAACCCGTCCAAATTCTTCTCCCGCCAAAACTCAAAAAGGTGAAGAGAGAGAGAGAGAGAGAGAGAGAGAGAAAATCGAAAGACAGAAGGAGAGAAAAAGAAGAAATAGTAAGCAGGAGAGATAGAGGAGTAAGAAGGAGAAAGAAGGAGAAAAGAAATAGATTGAGAGAGAGAGAGAGAGAAAATAGAGGTAAACAAAGAAAAAGTGTAAACCAGAGGGATAAAGTTTGAAAAAGAAAGCGAGAGACGAAGTGAGAGAGAAAGGGAGACGAGGAAAAACAGGAATAGTAAGAAAAGAGAAGGGTTAATAATAATAATAATAATAATAATAAATAAATATATAAATAAAGCAATACAAGTAAACCATAATACACCGACTGAATCTGCAAAATACATAAAAAGAAAGCAAAACCAAATTCAACCGACCAGATACAGAAACAATGGCAAGATAAACGGCTTCATGGCCAATACTCTGCCCTTACCAAACAAGCTGATGTAGACAAGACCCGTGCCCATCAGTGGCTATGTAGTGCAGAGTTAAAAGCTGAAACGCAAGATTTTATCCTTGCTGCACACGATCAGTGCTTGTTAACTAGAAATTATCAAGCACACATATTAAAATATTGTTTCATCCCCAAATTCAGGTTCTGTGATAATTACCCAGAAACAATCGATCATCTTGTATCAGGTTGCACGGTATTGGCACCCACTGAATATAAAACCCGGCACGACTGAGTGGGCCACTATTTGCATTGGAAAATCTGTAACTTCTACGGGAAAGAAACTGAAAGAAATTCGTATGAAAACCACCCAGACCCAGTTACGGAGATAGGACCTGTTACAATTCTATGGGACTACACAATACACACAGACGAACAATCAGACTAATCGCCCGGACATTGTTATTAGAGACCGCAAAAAAAAAAAAAAAAAAACCTTATTGATATGGCATTCCCTGCAGACTGCAATATATCTTTGAAGATCTTCAAAAAGCTATCAAAAAACAAAGACCTTGAAATCGAAATCTCAAAAATGTGACGCATGAGAACATCGAGAATCCCTGTTGTAGTTGGAGCCCTCGGATTGATTGGAAAAGATTCCAATAGATTCATTGAAGGGATTCCTGGTAGCCCATTATTTAAAGAAAAACAAAACATTGTACTCACAAGTACAGCTCACACATTACAAAGGGCTTTATCTATGTATTTTTTTTGTGTCAGTGGAAAATGTCCTGACGCCATTTCTAAACTTAGGTCTCTGGTTGGGATCCGGAACAAAATGTGTACACATCAGAAATCAAAGGAAATAATAATAAACAAAAACGAAGAATTGTTAAATTCCGTAAAGAAAAAAAGTTTTCGGCTTACAAGAGGAAAACCCTCCGGTTTTTCGGCTGTGCATTCGCTGTAATTGGCGCGAACTGCCCACGTTCCATTGCTGTTACAATCCCGGCTGGCATTTCCTGCAAGAAAGAAATTAATAATAAATTTAAAATCAAATCCCTCAAGTAATATTTCATACACTTTCTTGATCTGTTATCTTCTTTTTGTGACGTAGGGCCCACGTGATGGACGGGGTCCGGGTTCATTGTGTTAAGATAGGAAACTGATCAGATATGTCTATTTCGAGAGTCGGAGAAAAATCTTTGTTTAAAGGCACTACTGAGCCTCGGCTTGAGCAACGACGGACGCCGTAGCCGATATGTCACCTCAGATCTAATGATGATTTCACCCAGGGGAACGCAGGTTCGAATCTTGACTAAAGCGCATATTTTTTTCTCTAATAAGATTTCTCAAATATTCAGGCCGGTAGAGGAAAATAAATAAAAATACTGTTTAATAAATAAATGGGACGTCTACTCAAATACGAGTATCCACTAAAAATAATATTTTAGTAATAAAGATTTGACAACTAATAAATAAAAAGCCATTCCATTTTTTAGAAAAAATATATGTAGTAAGATTATCTAAATCTGGCATAAGGCTATGAGTGGGCATTAAACTGATATCTCTATCGCCTCTCCCCCCCCCTCCGCAATCATAATGTTGAACTTCTATTAACTGAGATTTTATGCTTCAATATAATGTTAAGACATTTCATTATTCTTTCATACAGTATTTCTCAACTGGTGTGCCCAGGCACACTAATGTGCCCTGAAATATAACCAGGTGTAAGAGAAATTTATGAATTATTTCTATATTTAAACTTTTTTAAAACTAGTAACAGTTAACACCACATGGCTTCCATATCTATCTGTAAAGTCTTTATCTGATATTTTATGCTGTATGTTAAATTCCCTATCCTTAATCTTTAAGTGAATAATTCTCTCCCTTCTGCCCTTCTCAAAAGATTTAAATAATCATCATTCTTAAAACAAAATAGATTATTTATAAATCCATTTAAATGAAAACAGTACTGATTAAATATACAATGTAATATCTTATAAATAAATGGTTATTTTAGGAGACATTTTTTCTTTTATTTTCAATGTTCATGCAACAGATTAAATCATCTGACACAAAATAATATTCAAAAATGTTTAAAACAAAGGTAAGAGAGTTCTTTTTTTTTCACATAAGTGTTATACGGTTGCATACATTCAAAAGTAGAGGAAGAGAAATATAAAGGAGAGAAGGGCGCCCCCCTCAAGGTAAGGCTTCAAGAACACAAGAAGGCTGTAACACAAGGGGAAGTGGAAAAATCAGGCGTGGCTGACCACATATGGAGAGAGAAGGGAGATCACCGTCTCCTGTGAGATCAAGTTGAGATCATAGACAAGGAACACCATTGGAAAATTCGTAAACTTAAGGAATCAGCACATATGCTAAGCCACAAAAATCTCCTGAGCCGACCAAGCGTAGAAATAAATACAGTATCGGAACCAAGGAGTGCCAGAGAAAAGCAATGATACCAACAAAGTTGCAATATGAGTTCTGGTAAAAACATGCATGATAACAGCAAAATTGCAATATGAGCACTGGTAAAATTGGTTGCTGAAGACATTAGGTTTATAATACCCAGAAATTCATACCCAGATGTCCTCAAGGACACATGGCACAGTGGACAAAGGCCCAAAGAGTGTGAGTTCAATACCCGGTGAAGGCAGTGGAGAACTAATTGAGGGAAAATTAACAGGAGATAACTGATGATGGCATGTGGAACTAGAACAGTCTAAAGGGGTCAGTTCGACATTCCAACCACCTGAAGAAGGCCGGAACGTACAATAAATATGATAAATATGACAATAGTCCGAATAATGTAAATAATACCTCATCTCAGAAATATCGACAGATACTGAAGGGCCGAAACGTTGTAATAGATATGGCGACAAAGATGAGGACAATAGTCCGAATAATGTAAATAATGTTCATAATACTTCATCTCAGAAATATAGACAGACTCTAGAGGAAGAGAGTTTAAAATACTTAGATTTCTTGGCCATTTTGTCTTGAAACCATTTTGTCTTGAAACTCGGCAGTTAACGCTTAGCTTTTACCTAGGATTGAACTGGTGACGTTGGGAAAAGGCACAATGCTCGCTTACAACGACATCTTCCTCAATTTCCTGTCCTTTACAGCTCTTAAAAATTTTTTGTCTTTTTATTACGTCTCCATCCTAGTTCCACTATGTACAATGACCGTCCAGGGCGTTAGCGATTATGGCTCTCCACAAATCTCTCCTAAACTTCGCCATCCATTGATACAAAATATGGGTCTCCACAATTTCCTGTCCTTCGTAGCGTTTAATAAATTTTGTCTTTTTGTTATCTCTCCTAAACCTTCTTCCGCCATCCATTTGGCAAAATTGCTAGGTAGGTTATGCGTTGTTTTCCTCTGTACCTCTTGTCTTCAATTTGCCATGTGAGTATCAAATTTTCCAAGCCCTCTTTCCTTACTATGTGTCCTCGAAATTTCAACTGTATAAGTTTCCATTTTTTCCATTTTCTCTAAAACTTCGTTGTTGCTCACATATTGGTTTTATGGCATTCTCAGTATCCTCCTGTAGAACAACAGTTCTGCTGCCTCAAGTCTCCTCTTCATCTGTGAGGAGATAGCACTTACTAATTCCCAGTTGTGAATTTTTATGATGGGTTCAGTTTTGATTTCATTTTCTCTAAAACCTCCTTGTTGCTCATGTGTTTGGTCAATGTTATTCTCACTATCCTATTGTAGAACCACATTTCTATTGTTTCAAGTCTCTTCTTTATCCGTGAGAAGATTGTCCAGCATTCACTGTCACGTAGGAGGATTGATATTACATAAAATTTAAGCACTATTTGTTTTTGCTGCTTCAAGTCTCTTCTTCATCTGTGAGGAGATTGTCCAGCATTCACTTCCATAAAGAAGGATTGATATTACATAACAGTTCAGTACTCTTTTCTTTGTTTCTCTTGCTTCAAGTCTCTTCTTCATCTGTGAGGAGATTGTCCAGCATTCATTGCCATGTAGGAGGAGAGATTTGGAATAACAGTTCAGTACTCTTTTCTTTTGTTTCTCTTGCTTCAAGTCTTTCTTCATTTTTAATCCAGGGTTCACTTCCCATAAAGAAGGATTGATATTACAAACAGTTTTTCTTTCCTTTTGTTTCTCTTGCCCTCCAAGTCTCTTCCCACATCTGTGAGGAGATTGTCCAGCATTTTCACTTCTTTCCAGAAGTTCCTGATCTTCATAACAGATCAGTACTCTTTTCCTTTTCCTTCCTTCAAGTCTCTTCCTTCATCTTCCTTGTCCTTTCATTGCCATGTAGGAGGAGATTTGGAATAACAGTTCAGTACTTTTTCTTTGTTTCCTTCCTTCCACCCACCACAGACTTCTTAGCAATTTTTTTTTCTTTCCTTCCTTCCACCATTCCTTCCTTCCTTCCTTCCTTCCTTCCAACCACCCTCCCTCCCTTCTTATCTACATTCCTTCCTTCCTTCCTTCCTTCCTTCCTTCCTTCCTTCCTTCCTTCCTTCCTTCCTTCCTTTCACAGTTTCTTTCTCTATCCATTCATCCTTTCCTTCTTTCCTTTCTTCCTTCCTTCCTTCTTTCCACTCCACCCTCCCTCCCTTCTTATCTACATTCCTTCCTTCCTTCCTTCCTTCCTTCCTTCCTTCCTTCCTTCCTTCCTTCCTTCCTTCCTTTCACATCCATTTCTCTCTCCATTCATCCTTTCCTTCTTTCTTTCTTCCACCCTCCTTCCTTCTTCTCTTCCTTCCTTCCTTCCTTCCTTTCTTCCTTCCTTCCTTCCTTCCTTCCTCTATCCATTCATCCTCTTCCTCCCTCTTTTCTTTCCTTTCTTCTTTTTCCCTTTCCTTCCTTCCTTCCTTCCTTCCTTCCTTCCTTCCTTCCTTCCTTTTATATCATTACCTTTTGTTTCTTTTATCTAATTCTTTCTTTCTTTTTTCTTTCTTTCGTTTAACTAATTGTTTCTTTCTTCATCTCTTTCAGATCATTTCATTTTCTTTCTTTTTTTTTCTTTATCGCATCTTACTATCTTTCTTTCTTTCAAGGGGTGGTAGTACCTGTTATTATGGCATCACTTCTGTCTTCATTTTATGCCATCGTCCGTATTATTATTTCTTTCTATCATTATATACTTCTTTCAGATCATACCTTATTTCTTTCTTTCTCTCATATTTTTTTTTTTTAGGTATAAAAAAGTTATTTCCACGAGCAAACATTATCCTGCCACTTGTAAGACTCCCGGCAGCCATAAGGACGTCGTACAGACGTTGGAGATGTTCAATGACTTCAAATGGCCATTGTCGTCTGCATTGAACCGTTAGTCCTTCTCTACAGAAGTCCAAGGATACCATTCGTTCAAGAGGTTTTTGTCATTTTAATTTCTTTTATTACAAACAAAACTAGCTCTTCTTTTGTTTTCTTTCTTTCATAAATAAATATTTTCAAATAAAGAAAAAGAATTCATCTACAATTGAAAAGAATTTATCTAAGAGTAACATAGAATTTATTGCAACAACTTCTAAAACAATAAGAGGTTTAACAATATAAAACAAAATAATAATAGACGAAAACTTGAAGGAGAGATTAACTTTATCTCTTGTAATGATTGCCACAACGAATAAATCGGAAAAACATCTAGGAATTGAAATAAAAGTTTATATGAACACAAAAGGGATCTTTTACAAAAGAACATGCTCAATGCATTTGTCGCTCACCGCAGTGAGGCTGGCTATAATTTTTGATTTTAAAAATGATACTTTAATTAAAAGAAAGTAATTTACTAAATCGAAAATGTATAGAAAGCACTTTGATCGCTAAATCATCCACAGTAAATTTAAGTTCAGGTATCTTACAATATTTCTTGACAAATCTTCTATCACAATGTGGGGTAAATAATAATAAAAGTGATAAACACAAAAACAAACGCATAAGGAAACTGAATGAAATCAGTCAGACTACACGCCCAGAAACGTCTGAAGAAAATTACATTTAAAAATTTAATGTTTTAGCGTTCCAATACCATCTGCGTTTCCTGTTGGTGCGTAATTATGACCAGAGCTTGCGTTTTTATATCACCTCCATCTCTTTCCTACGCATATAAAATGTAAGCAACAAAAAGATTACTTTAGTCTGATGAAGTCCTTTCAGAGACCGAAACACGTTATACATATTTTTTTTTCATTTTGTGTGGGTCACTTCCTGGTAGGTTGATATTAAAACCACTGGCAATTTTGGTTATCGCTGTTTTTCTATTACCTCCAACAACTCTTGCAAAATTAAATGGAGTGCGGGGGGGGAATGGATGACGGGTTCAGTATATCGGATTAATAAATATATAAAATATATATATATATATATATATATATATATATATAATCATCCCTTCTTTATAAATTTCTTTGTTTACATTACTATACGAAATTGGGCAGTTATGAATGTTTAGAGAGTCTGAGAAAGATTTACATTTAAAAAGGCACCATTCAAATTTACTTGATCATCGATGTACTTCGTGGTCGAGACTATTTTAAAGCACGTCGAATCTAATGATGGTTTCTCCTGCCAAAGGGGGAGCAGCTTCGAATCCTCTTAATTTAATAAGATTTCTCGAATATTCAGGTCGGTAGACGAAAATAAATTAATATACAGTTTATTAGATAAGCGCAGCGTCTACTCAAATATGATTATTTACTAAAAATAACGCTTAAGTAATAAAAACTGTATAATATATATATATATATATATATATATATATATATATATATATATATATATATGTGTATTATTTTATAATTTATATATATGCTTGTATAAAATTTTATGATACTTTTATGCATCCAAGTAAACTCTAGTTTATGTTAGTACCTGTCATATAGGAAGAAAATGAGTAACTACCTACATCGAGGTTCGAGCGTGATACTCTGGATTTATGAAGATATGTTTTCTGCCAGGTGTATAAAGAGCGATGTCAGGCTACTGACTGCAGTGACTATTGAGTGGAACTATCCAGTCGAATTAGTGTGAATTATTGTGCGTCGAGGATTTGGGTTTTGATTTAGGATTTACCGGACGTTAAGCCGAGCCGTGGTACTAACAAGGTATTCACTGAAATAGTTAATTATCTTTGGTTGATTTTACTTCTTTGTTCTTGTTAAGTATTTATTTGCGGTTGTAATTAAATATTGTTTTATTTTAACATTGAAGTCTTGAGTTAGACTTAATTATTTACTGTCACCGTATGTCACAAAAGTACCATAGGTCATTATTGATTATTTCTTAAAAAGCTCAATTATTTAGGCCTTGTAGCAGACTAACGTTTGTACAGTAAATATCTGCATTAGCTGCCATTTAGATTCAGCTGAATCAGCTTCAATGTTGAAATGAAATGTTTCAGAATTCTGTGCGATTACAGGATGCGAAAAACATTTTTGATGCGTTAAATGAAATGGCGGGAAATTTGCAGTGTGTTCGCTGAAATGGCGGGAAACCTGCTGTGTGTTAGCTGAAATGGCGGGAAGTTGCGCTCTGTTAACTGAAATAGCGGGGTGCAGCATGAGGCGACCGTTGAATGAATCAGAACTGATAAGTGCAGAGCCAATATCGACACTACGTTAATAAAAATAGCAGTAGGCCTACTAAAAAAAAAACTAAAGAGTAAATGTCAGCTTCTTTTTCTGTTAAAATTCACAGAAAGTATTTCAATGTTTAGCTCAGTGATCAGAGCAATGGACTAGCAGCCGAAAAGACTAAAATTCATTTATCTATAATTAGCAAAATGTATTAATTCTCATGTTTATAATAATAATAATAATAGACCTCAAACAAGAAAAGTGCCTCCTTATTGATATGGCAGTCCCTGCAGACTGCAATGTATCTTTGAAGATATTCAAGAAGCTGTCAAAATACAAGGACCTTGAAATCGAAATCTCAAAAATGTGGCACATGCGAACATCAACAATCCCTGTTGTAGTTTGAGGCCTCGGATAGATTGGAAAAGTTTCCAATAGACTCATTGAAGGAATTCCTGGTAGCCCATGCCTTAAAGAAATACAAAAAATGTTCTCACGAGTACAGCCCACACCTTACAAAGGGCTTTACTCATGTAAAATATGTGTGTGCGTGTATGTTTTGTTCTTTTTTTTCAACTTGCTCAATGGAAAATGTCATGATGCCATTTCTGACTTTGGTCTCTGGGCGGGACCCGTAAAGAAATGAGTGCACACGAGAAATCAAAGGAATAATAATAATAATAATAATAATAATAATAATAATAATAATAATAAAATTAATAATAAACTACAACAATCTGATTGGAAGCAAACTACACAAAAACCAACGACCCTCTCCTACAAATAGTAAAACATCAAATCCACTTCATCAACAAAGAAGCTGAACTCTTCAAGAAACAGCTGAATATACCTGAAATTCTACTAACAAAAAACGAAGCAAATACTCCATCTATGCCAAACGAGTAAAAGAGAAAGCAAAAGAATTTGGCCAAATAAAATTAAAAAAAAAAAACAAAAAAAAAACTGGGAGGACAAAGCGTTGTATGACAAATACCTAACAACAACGAAAGAAGCAGATGTGAACCAAAAGAAAACACATCAGTGGCTGAGGAGCATCGGGTTGAAAGCTGAGGCAGAAGGCCTAATTATTACAGCTCAGGACCAAAACCTCTCAACCAGATCCTATGACTGTCATATAATCAAGGATTGAATTAACCCGAATTAACTGCGGAAAATATATGAAGAAACTGTCGACTATATTATCTCAGGATGTCTGGAACTAGCAAAAAATGAACATACCCACAGACATAACAAGGTAGTGACATATGTGCACTGGAAGATATGCAAGAAGCACAAAATTGAAACCACTGAGAGATGGTATGAGCACCAACCAGAAACAGTTACCCAAAATAACGATGTAACTATCCTCTGGGACATGTCAATTCAAACTGACAGGGAAATAAAAGCCAACAGACCTGATATTATCATAAAAGACAAGAAATTCAGGAAGTGTATGCTTATTGACAGAGCAATACCAGCAGAGAGAAACACCTTCATGAAAATTATCGAGAAATTGTCCAAATATAAGGACCTAGAGATCGAGATTAACAGGATGTGGGAAATAAAGACTGAGACTGTGCCAATAGTAATCGGAGCTCTGGGCCTCGTGAGAAAAGGAATGGACAATTTTACTAACAGTGTCCCAGATCAACAGACAAGTTGCCCAGAAAATCGCCCTACTAGGAACATCCCATACATTAAAAAAATTGTCAAATTTTTTTTAAAAATGCTATGAATTAAGTATCAGTTTTAGTATAAACTGGACTATTCAGATGGTTATTCAACTCAGCAGTCACTTTGGCCGCAGTAGTCCAATGATTCTTTGTCACATGTCAATGCACGTCAGTCCCTGTCCGTAAGTTTGCAAGTCTGGCCCGAATTGCTACGATTGCTAGGGGTTTTGCAGTTTCTTGAATTGCGTCATAGTTCTTGATATGGTAGCTCTTGAAAAACCAAACAGTTCAGCAACCTTAGTGATCAAGGCTCCAGCCATGCGATTGGCCCTTTTTCAAACTTTGAGAGGTCACGCATTTAGCTTAAATTTTATTAAATTCTAAAAATTAATAAGACCAAGACTGTAAATTAATTAAATGTATTTACAATTGATATAACCTGCAATTATGAAGTTTTAGTTAAAGTTCTTAATAGGTTTTTGAAATATATGAGTGCAATTTGCACCTGTTCCAATTACTTTGTCCAACCCCTGTATCTCCTACCAAAAATAGGAGAAAGAGATGATCCGAGAAATTATAGGCCAATAACATGTCTGTTCACCACATAAATTGATGACGTTTGTCCTGACGAACTGTACTTATTCTTTTCTCGATGAAAACAACATTGTTCCCCTGGAACAGAAGGAATGTCTGACTTTAGGTTTCTGGTTGGGACCCGGAAAGAAACAAATATATACCAGAAATCAAAGGAAATAATAATAATAATAATAATAATAATAATAATAATGGGATTTGAAGATAACATAAATACATCTTAGCTTAAAGATGACAAAAGCATTCATTTCTCACAAAAAATATTTATTTTTCAACATAGTCTCATTCTTTGTCAATGCACTTAGTCCAATGCTTTCCATTAACCACATATGTTTGGACATCAATTTAAAATTCTCATCTTCTCATAAGTAGTTGCATCAACGTGAACATAAACTTAATCTGATGTAAAGTCGTAAAGGACGAAATGCCTCACACGAAAACATTTTATACATTGTCATATATATATATATATATATATATATATATATATATATATATATATACAAATGAGAACGAATAGAGGAACATTCCAACGTTGTTAACATTTAATTTTAAAGAGAGCTCGATACAAAGTAGAGCAATGTTCTTTATTTTAGGATATTATATCGAGTAACATGTCAAATCACTACACAATTGCAGTCGTGTTTCGATGCGTATCAACGCATCTCGTCAGGTGATGCACATAGAAACACGACTGCAAGTGTGTAGCGGTTTTGACATGATTTTCGATGTAAAATAAAGTATATATATATATATATATATTAAATTCTTGAAAAAGAGCTTTTTAGTTTACATGAAATATCATTTTTGCTTTATTTATGCAGTAACGGTACTATTTCATGCTGAGCGGTTTTTTAAAATGGGTAGCTTTTTATTAATATTGTTCATCAAAGATGTTTATCAAGAGATTATAGCTAGAAAATTTATAACTCCTAGAAATCCTTGAATTATCGGGCAAGTTTTGTATTGTCTTTTCATGAATTCATTTATGAATTAAACTTGAAACGAATATCAAGATTATTTAATAACGTCTGTAATTATTAAATGAGCATGCATTGTGAGCAAAATGGTAGCGAATGGATTCCATGCCACAAAACTGTGTTGCTATCAAATCATTGGATAGGTTAAGAATGCTGAATTTTTACACAATTTTCTGAACCTGATGGTCAGATTCATTTTAGAAATTTTAATAACCTCATCCTACATGGCAGCTGGTTCACTTGTCAGAGAGTATGTCTGACACCATTATTATATTTGTGTGCTCATAAAATCTACATTATCTGACCTCCCACTGATAATCTCTCACTTCATCTATCTATCTATCTATCTATCTATCTATCTATCTATCTATCTATCTATCTATCTATCTATCTCAGTCTGTTATTATATATCTATCTATCTATCACAGTTTCTTTCTTTCTTTCTTTCTTTCTATCTCAGTCTGTTTCTATCTATCTATCTATCTATCTATCTATCTATCTATCTATCTATTACAGTCTGTTATTGTCTATCTATCTATCTATCTATCTATCTATCTATCTATCTCAACATGTTCATTATCTGTCTACCTATCTCAATATGTTCATTATATCTATCTATCTATCTATCTATCTATCTATCTATCTATCTATCTATCTATCTATCTAAAACAAAAGGGTTCAGTTCGAAACTCCAATCAGTCGAAGAAGGCCAGTGTGTTCAACGGCCGAAACGGCGTGAATATAGCAATAAATATGAGGACAATAATCCTGTAAATAATGTAAATAATTAGAACCTCTCATCTCAGAAATATATACTTCTATCTATCTATCTATCTATCTATCTATCTATCTATCTATCTATCTATCTATCTCTGTCTTTTCTGTATCAGCCTATTAACTTTTTTACGTGCAATTCTGAGAATAACCCATGAACTAAGATCAAATCGACTGTTTATGCAGAATTTTCCTTGAACTAAAGGCAATCAGTATGCAAAGGACAATCCTACCATCCATAACCAATATTTATCTATGTACCGATATACGTACGTATATATCTGTCCACCTATAATTATATTATAATTATTCATCTCTATCTATTTATATATACAAGATTTAATCTATTCATCTCAATCTGCCCATCTCTCCCCCCCCTCTCTCTCTGTATATATATATATTAAACTTGTCTATATTTTAATGTAACATGCCAAAGAAAATGCTGCCTAAATACACATACAATATATATATATATATATATATATATATATATATATATATATATATATATATATATATACACGTTAATATCTACCTATTTATAACTATTCATATCTATCTACTTATATATATATATAAGATTATTTAAACCATTCTCCGTCTGCTCATATCTATCTATCTATCTATCTATCTATCTATCTATCTATCTAATTCTCTAGATCTATCTATCTATCTATCTATCTATCTATCTATCTATTTGATTCTCTAGATCTATCTATCTATCTATCTATCTATCTATCTATCTATCTATCTATCTATCTATTTGATTCTCTAGATCTATCTATCTATCTATCTATCTATCTATCTATCTATCTATCTATCTCTCTCTCTCTCTCTCCCTGTGTCTTTTCTGAATCAGCCTATTAACTTTTTTCAGTCAGTGTTAAGTACAATTCTAAGAAAGCCCCCAAGAACACAGATGATCCTGTCAAATCGACTGTTCATGCATAAATTCCCTCGAACGAAACACAATCTGTATGCAAGGGACAAATCTACCGTCCATAACCAATGATTGAATGTTCAACGGTTTTATTTCATCATCTTTCAGTTATTCTTTTTTTCACGTACATTTTCCAGATATATATGATATCTATCTATCTATCGATATATATATATATATATATATATATATATATATATATATATATATATATATATATAGTTATTTATTCGAATATTATAATATAAATATGTTATAAAATCAATAAAAAATAGCCATTTTGTTTAAACACTTCTGGTGTCTTATCAAGTGATCATATATATCTCAGTTTGTTCATATTTATCTCCATCTGCTCATATCTATCTATCTATCTATCTATCTATCTATCTATCTATCTATCTATCTATTTCAGTCTCTTCATTATCTAGCTATGTATCTATTTCAGTCTCTTCATTATCTATCTATCTATCTATCTATCTATCTATCTATCTATCTATTTCAGTCTCTTCATTATCTATCAATCTATCTATCTTAGTTTCTTCATTATCTATCTATCTATCTATCTATTTCAGTCTCTTCATTATCTATGTATCTATTTTAGTCTCTTCATTATCTATCTATCTATCTATCTATTTCAGCTTCTTCATTATCTATGTATCTATTTTAGTCTCTTCATTATCTATCTATCTATCTATCTATCTATCTATCTATCTATGTCTAATAATGTAATTAATCAATGTCACTGACTAAGCACATGTGGACATAACCATCAATGCCCGTGAGATTAAAATTACTCGCAAGTTTATCACTCACCCTTAAAAGGCAAATCACTAAATCTAAATTGGTCATATCGAAACAATATGCTGATGTCAATTACTGTGTAATCAGCTGTAAAATTATTGCAACAAAGTTTCACGAACTGGAAATCAATTGCAAACATCAATTTCATGCAGCAGCATCAAATTTAAAATCTATTTTTTATTAGATCAAGAATTGTCGACCATTTTAATAAGTTTTGTTTACTAGTTACTTTGGTATTCACTTTTCAATAGGGGAAGCATTGATTGTCATTATTATTCAATTTTGACTAACATCAGTCCTCATATATGGCAATGAATGCTGGAAAAAACTTCTCACAGCTGAAGAAGGGACTTGAAGCAACAGAAACATGTTCTTCTATAGAAAGATGGAGAGATTAACATCGACCGAACATGTGAGCAAAATGAAGTTTTAGAGAAAATGGAAACAAAAAGGAAACTTATACTTAACATTTGGAAGACACGGCTGAAATTTCTCCGGTACGCAATGAGGAAAGAAGGTTTGAAAATGTTGATACTCACAAGACAGGTTGAAGGCAAACGACACAGAGGAAAGCAACACACAGCAAACTTGAGTAAATCGATGGCGGAACAAGGTTTAGAGGAGATAGCAAAAACGCAAAATATATTAAGTGCTACAAAGGACAGGAAATTGTGGAATGCCATGATCGCCGATGTCGTATATATATATATATATATATATATATATATATATATATATATATATATATATATAGATAGATAGATATATAAAGACATTTATTTATGTTTATACGTTCTTTTTATAGATACAAATCTTTAAGTAAATGCACAGTTTATAATAAACAGTATTAACGACATTTATCGGCCAGAATGTCCGAGAAATTTTCATAGAAAATATGCGTCTTCCGTCAACAATCGAACCTGTATCCTATACGGAACCGTCACAAAGCCTGACGTGCCTTAACCGATTGGGCCACAGAGGAGCGTTCGGTATTCCCTTCTAAAAAGACTTTATCATTATTGGCTGGTGCTTGTCTCTAACAGGGTTACTAATAAGATATATTCTGAAATTGTCTTTTTGTTCCGTACCTAGAAAAGTGGCAGATGATCTTACTTATACTCAATAAAGGATAATGGTGCAATAGAATTGTTTTATGGAAGGCCAACTTTATATTCCCTTCTAAAAAGACATTATCATTATTGGCTGGTGCTTGTCTCTAACAGGGTTACTAATAAGATATATTTTGAATATGTCTTTTTGTTCCCTACCTTGAAAAGTGGCAGATGATCTTACTTATACTCAATAAAGGATAATGGTGCAATAGAATTGTTTTATGGAAGGCCAACTTTATATTCCCTTCTAAAAAGACTTTATCATTATTGGCTGGTGCTTGTCTCTAACAGGGTTACTAATAAGATATATTTTGAATATGTCTTTTTGTTCCCTACCTAGAAAAGTGGCAGATGGTCTTACTTATACTCAATAAAGGATAATGGGGCAGTAGAATTGTTTTATGGAAGCCCAACTTTATATTCCCTTCTAAAAAAGACTTTATCATTATTGGCTGGCGCTTGTCTCTAACACGGTTACTAATAAGATATATTCTGAATATGTCTTTTTGTTCCCTACCTAGAAAAGTGGCAGATGATGATCTTAGTCGATACCCATATTTTAGCAGAGGCTCCGTTTATTTTTCGAACCGAATTTTATTTTCGTCTACCGTTCTGAATATGTGGGATATCTTATTAAAGAAAAATGTTCCCTCCTTAAAAGATAAATGGGGCGTCTACTCAAATATGGATATCCACTAAATATAACATTCAATGTGATAAAAATATGTTGACGTTATCAGTAAGAATCCAGTATTGCTTTAGAAATTGCTTTGGTTACGTTTTGGATACAAAATTGAGCAGTTATATAATTTCCGAGATTCTAAACGAGAAGGAGGTGCTTAAAGGTAGTATACAATCTTGCTTAATTGACAAAACTCTTCGTGGCCGAGTCGGCTAAAAGCACGTCGCATCTAATGAAGGTGCCTCCTGAAAAGATACAAAGATTATTCTGTCTTCTTAATTCTTGTTCTTTTATTGTTCTCTCTCCTTAATAGTAGTTTTTTCTCATATTCTCTAGCACCCAGTAAGCCTTCGCGTCTTAGTGGCTTTATTGCCTTGCATGGAGTGAACAAATTTTATAAACAGTATTAAAAAGTAATTATTGTATTATATTATTTATTGAATATTTTTCATTTTAAATATGGTATTTAGGTGAGGCTGAAACTCGTAAAAGTAATTGCTTGAGGGTCATAGGGGCACTATACATGCAGCCGTAGAATAAGTGGCGGTTCTTGGGCAAAGTAGCCTGACGGAGCCCAATTCTCTACTGTTTTGAATTCAGAGTATCTTTCTCCTACTATCTAAGCCCTCTGTCCTGGTATTTTCTCATAGCATTAGCAGAGAATTCAAACCTTTCCAAAGGTAAGCGAACGTGATGGATCTGACTGGAATTCGAACTCCGCTCTCCGATTCCGCTGTCCCAGCCGCTATCCATTACTCCACTGTGCCTCTTTGAGAGGCTATAAGAAACGGGTTATTGTGCACGCGTGTCTTGGGCTTATTTCACAGGCTGAAATCTTTACTTAGTTAAAGAAGAAACGTCTCTTCTAGATAAGCTATTGATCTCGGTTGAAAACGACTACAGAGACTTAAATGATATTCCATAGGCATATAAACGAGCGGTCAAATGAAAAAGAGGCTTACTGTCTCCAGGGAAGAGTCACTTCTAATAACGCGATCAGCAGAAACCGGTTCTTGAATTTCAAAGTTGAATGCGTCGGTGAATGGCGCCAATTTCCTGTCGGAATTACCGTTAATCCTGTTCGAACGTCTTCTCTAGATCCAGGGATTTCCGTGGTGAATGCAAGTAATTTTGATGCTGGTCATTATTATTATTATTATTATTATTATTATTATTTTGGAGTTCGCTCACTCAAACAGACTCAAATGCGATCTTAACGCTAAAACTAAAAATCACTAATCGATTAGATCCAGCTGAAACTAGTCGACTGAAAAATGTTTTCAAACTTTTAGAATCCAACCAGGGAATTTCATCGCCCATGTTGTATTTAATAATACAAGAGGATTGGATTAACTAAATGCCTTTCTTAAATAATTTGCGAAAATAACGACTTTATAAAAGTGATTGTTTCTAGATAAAACAAAATAAGGGAATAAATAAACGAATAAGTTTTGGAGTTTGGTGATGCGTTGACCTTTTCTGAATTTTTTTAGGGTTAAGAAGGGCATCATTCGACCAGAAAAGGATTGTAATATTATGAGAAAAAATTATACACATGGTAAAATGAAATGCAACTCAGAACGAGTTGTATTTTATATAGCAAAAACGATAAATTTATATATATAAATTTTAGCATGTCAAGTATTACACAATAAGTAACATTGAAGGCATAGATAACTCAGAAATGCTTTACACATTTTTTACAATGATGAATAGAGAAATAAGTATTTCGTAAGTAATTTCTTTTTTAGTGTACATTCAAGCAGAGTATTTATATTGTAGTAATACATTTCAAAGAATTTATTGTATTATTCGAAGAACATACATGTATATAATTTTTGTAAGCACAGAAATAAAGAAATGTTTGCTTATCTGTAGGTGGCAACCTATTTTATAAGAGATTGTCTTGAACGTCATAAGCATTATCATTAAAAAACTTTAACCTTTTTTAATAATCTAACTTTTTCTTTCTTTATTGCTAACTACAATTCTTATGTTGTATTTTAAAGAATTTTAATTCCTTAACTTTTAATTTTCCTTTATTATTAAATATTTTAGTTCCAAACTACTACATAGTCTAGTAATCGTGGTTGGGGTTTATTTACTAATTTATTTATTGCTATCAATACAAAAATAAACACAGAATATCGATTTTATTGAATATTTTGAATCGAATGAGAGTTGCTCAAATTTTATAGCATGTCACCAAAAAAGGACGTTCGGTTTCTTTTTTGTGCGGTGTTATTTCAGGGTGTGGCAATTCATGCCTTTTTACAATTTCTTATCTTTTGTATTTTTTTTTCCATTTCACTTCAAGGAAGGGAATAAAGCCACTAAGATGATATGGATTACTGAATGTAGGAGAATATGAAAAATAAATCACTAAAAGCAGGAGTTGAGGCTTATCCCTTGTTCCCTGTTTAAGATTGGGTCTTTGGTTCTTTCTAAAGTCTACTTCAACTCATGAATAGATTCACACTCCTCTGTGTTTTGAAAAGGAGTAAAGGCTTATCCTTTGTTTTCTGTTTAGGATTGGGTTTCCCGTTTCTTTTAAAGCCTACTTAACTCAATCTTTCTAACGTCTCCGTCTAAACTCTGAAATTTTATTTACTATTTTTTGCATCAATAGGAGCAGATAGGTTCCCTTATCGTCCAGTTCACACACCTCTCTGTTATTTCGAACAGGAGTAGAGGATTATCCCTTGTTTTCAGTTCAGGATTGGGTTTCCGGTAGAAACCGGAAACCCAATTTCTTTTCATTCATTTTCAATCCCAGTAGTCCCTTTCGCATTATCGCCTTACTTTGGGTGAATTGATTACGAAAAATATCACCACTTTTGAAAATGTTAATGTTATTAGAAAGAGCTGAAGGACACCTAGATCCTGTTGTTGTTAAAGTGAGGTCGAAGACAAATCCTTTCAAATACCTTTGCTCTTTAGTCGCCATTTTGGTTGTTATTTCGTCTTTGTATTTATTGTCGTCTGTTAAGTTTTCACTTTTCGTATTATCTGTTTTATTTATTGCCCTTATCTTTTTTCATTATTTCAATCACGTCTTTCTTTTCTCTATATTCCAGAACTTTTTGTGGTCACCTTTGTTTATTTTTCTTAAGCATTTTTTCCTTCACTTCTTC